GGGACAGGTGAGACAGGGACAGGGGACACGGACAGGGGACACCGGTGAGGGACAGGTGAGACAGGGACAGGTGAGGGGACAGGGACAGGTGAGACAGGGACAGGTGAGGGGACGGGACACAGGTGAGAGGGGACACAGGGACAGGTGAGGGGACACAGACAGGTGACACAGGGACAGGTGACATGGGACAGGTGAGGGGACAGGTGACATGGGACAGGGGAGATGGGGACAGGGACAGGTGAAGAGACAGGACAAGGACAGGTGAGCAGTGATGGTGACAATGCGACAGTGTGACAGTGACAGTAACAAGGTGACAGTGACAATGACAATGCCAAGGTGACAATGCCAAGGTGACAGTGACAATGTGACTATGACAGTGACAAGGTGACAATGCCAGCTCACCACGTCCACCTGCAGCAGCAGCAGCCGGAGGGGCACAGGGAGGGGACAGGGACAGTGACAGTGACAAGGTGACAAGGTGACAGTGACACGGTGACAGTGACAATGTGACAGTGACAAGGTGACGGTGACAAGGTGACAGTGACAAGGTGACAGTGACAAGGTGACGGTGACAATGCCAGCTCACCACGTCCACCTGCAGCAGCAGCAGCCGGAGGGGCACAGGGAGGGAACAGGGACAGTGACAGTGACACAGTGACACGGTGACAATGACACGGTGACAGTGACAAGGTGACGGTGACACGGTGACAGTGACAAGGTGACAATGCCAGCTCACCACGTCCACCTGCAGCAGCAGCAGCCGGAGGGGCACAGGGAGCGGACAGGGACAGTGACAATGACACGGTGACAGTGACAAGGTGACAGTGACAATGTGACAGTGACAGTGACAAGGTGACAATGCCAGCTCACCACGTCCACCTGCAGCAGCAGCAGCCGGAGGGGCACAGGGAGGGAACAGGGACAGTGACAGTGACACGGTGACAGTGACAAGGTGACAATGACAGTGACAGTGACACGGTGACAGTGACAAGGTGACGGTGACAAGGTGACAGTGACAAGGTGACGGTGACAAGGTGACGGTGACAATGCCAGCTCACCACGTCCACCTGCAGCAGCAGCAGCTGGAGGCCGAAGCTCCGCCCCAGCTCCCGGAGCCGCTCGTGGATGTACTCGGGGTGCAGCTGGTGGTACCTGAGGCTGGCACGGGGACGGCACAGCTGGCACAGCTGGAATAACCCTGGGGCACACCTGGCACAGCTGGGATATCCCTGGGGACAGCTGGGGCACACCTGGGACACCCCTAGAACACACCTGGGACAACCTTGGGCACACCTGGGGCACACCTGGGCACACCTGGGATAACCTTGGGCACACCTGGGACACCCCTGGGCACACTCGGGCACACCTGGGGCACACCTGGGCACACCTGGGACATCCCTGGGCACACTCGGGCACACCTGGGGCACACCTGGGCACACCTGGGATAACCTTGGGCACACCTGGGGCACATCTGGGCACACTCGGGCACACCTGGGCACACCTGGGCACACCTGGGACAACCTTGGGCACACCTGGGACACCCCTGGGCACACTCGGGCACACCTGGGACACCCCT